ATCCTTCAGATTTTTCTGAAGCAAAAAAAGTATTCTTTTCTCTTTGCCTCCCAATTTCAAAATTGCCTAGGATAACAAAAGTGTCTCTGCACACTGTAGATACACCATGCTTGATTTACTCCTTGCCTAAGACTTTATTTCTCTAGACATCCAGGCAACTTTGGACCAAAATTGGCATGTATACTATGCAAAGTAAACATGCAGCTGACTTGCAGTCATCATTACTTTTTATATGGTTATTACAGTGCTTTCAAAGAGAATAGAAAATGGCAGAGGAAGGAAAAGCAATTATTATAGGTGTCACTTAAAGTATGCAGCAGGAATATAAAAATACAGAGAATATAAAAGAAATACAATTTCAGAAACAAAAATACAAAAAACCACAAGATTTATGTACTACAGCAGTTCAATGCCAGCCTCCTCCCTTTGCCCCCTCTTCCCTCCCCCCACCATGATGTTACGCTAGAAGCCATTCCTTCTTACTGCACAGAGGAAAAGGAGCTCTGTCATACAGCTGTAGCTCACTTCTAGTAACAGTCCAGCTACACGGAGTATTCCGCTTTTCCACCTCTTCCACACTATGCAACTTGACAGATTTTGCACAGATGGGCTAAAAGTGTATTTGTATGGTAGCAAAATAAACAAGGAGACATGGCCCTTCGTGGGAGTGGCTACTCTGCTGTTGCTACAGTCTATGGACCACAGAGGGCACAGCACAGGGATCCAAGTCTTTTCAAATCATAGCATTATTTCTTCATAGCTGTATCTAATTGCTACACTATTAGAAGGGAACAGCCTCTGCCTGATTTTTCCCTTTGAACTTTTATAAATAATTAGCATAACACAAAACAGCTGTAGAACTTCCTTTCTTTCTGTCTTCAAGCAGCAAATCTGTTGCTTAGTTGCTCATCAAAACTAGCAGCAACAGCTCTCTGATGACACTTGACATCAGCAACCTTGCAGTTTTGAGTTATTCAGCTCATTGCTTAAGATTATTAAAGATGTACTTTCAACAATTATGAGTGGAACTGTGTTCTGTAATGCATTAAAACCAGGTCTACTCTTAAGCTGTACTGCCTCTTCCAGAGAAAGTAAAATTTCTGCTTTCTCAAGGCATAGGAGAATTATTCTGCCCCCGCCCCAGCTGAAGCATAACAAATTAATCACATTAACATTTTCAAAACATTTCTAGAAAATATTCAGTGTCTCTTCCTTAACTACTTACAGAGACAGAACTAAGACCCTGAATAGGGTCCAACAAAGGATTTTAAGTTCAGAGCAAGTAATTACTGTTTAGCTAATGGTTCAGTATTTTCGCAAAACCTTATCTACCTATACTTGATATTTCTAAAAAGACAGTGAGTCCCCTGCTTTTGGTTTAAGTTTCATTTATATCATTTTAATGTAGATGCTTATATACCCTTATGAATCTACTATGTTTAAGCAGCACTCACTCAGAAATTCAAATACTGTATTTTGTCTACCGAAGGCCTGCACATATCTACTAACAAACTGCATACATCACAAGACATTACAGAACACAATTCCTCTGTAGCCCACAGTTCCTTCATAGCTCAGCTGCTTATCAATTTCCAAACAAGAAAAGGCACATACAAGACTTGTATTCTTCAGTATAGCACTGCACAAGTAAGTTTTTTAGTGACATAATTCACAAGACAGCAAACTGCTTTTCATTCAAGGGCAGTATTCACATGAGGTATCAAATCTGAGCTGCTCCTTTCATGGCTTCCTTTTCACAAATTAGAAATTGTTCTTTTTTTCTATTAAAATAATAGAGATGTTGAATAAAGTTATTAAAATGTACCACTCACCCCCTACCTCAGTTTCATAGGTACTGGGTTAAAATTGAACTGATAGTTCTATTTTAAAGTAATCCAGGAGAGGACACACATTTTACAGCTTTAGAAAAGCCAGCAGCAAATCGTTATTTTCTGTGTACTGCACATTAACCATGCAGGATGGGAGCAGAGGTGCCTTAAGCTTAGCTATGCATTTTTGTAAAGAAAGTAGAGTTGCTCCAGCTGAAGTAGCCCACTGCAGCTACATGACTTAACTATAAACCTGCTAGAGTATCATTACAGCATTTAAAACTGATACTTAAAGTATTACCAGCAATAGATGGCAAAACTAGTCAGAAACACTTAAAAATATTTCCTAATTGACATAATATTTAGGCTCTCAGTCCCCCAGATAACAGAGAAATTTTGAAAAGCAGATTGTGTTCAAAGGGATGGAGAATTACCACGTATCAGTCTTATTTATTAACACTTCCTGAAAGTGAGGATATGTGATAAAACTCAAAACAGGTATTTGCAATAAAGTTTTTCCCTGCTGTAACAACTTTCCACAAACACTGCACTGAACAATGCAGATGTCTTAATTCACATGCTTTGGTTTTATTAAGTAACTGAAAATGGTACTTTGAGGTTAATCAGTTACCACACATACAAAAATACCCCTGTACATGCACTGAAGACAGGCCACAAACTAGAACAAGGCATTAACAGCAGTTTCAATTTATCAATTTATTGCATATGTCAGTACATAAAAATAGAAAAGTGTTTTTGTAAAATTAATGTTATTGTAAAAACCAGACTAGAATGAGAATGTAAAACTTTGCCACAATTAGCACATATACAGTAACATTGATGCTTTGTCTGCAAAACTTAAGAATAAGACTTTTTTGCTTTACCTATGTATTAAAGAAAAAAACCAAACAAATATCTGCATCATATTTTCAATGACTGTTTCTGAATTCAAAACACAAGTGTTATTTAGAACTTCAATATGTTATTGCTATTTACACTTCTGTAGCATTCTACTCTAAATTATACAAGCAGGATGGCATTGTAAATTATCCTGAATGGGATACATCAGGCTGATCCCACTACATGACATGCAAGAGGCACTGATTTTATATTTGGCAGAAGTGCCCCTAGCAAAATCACCTGTCATTAACAAAAATAAAAATGCATTTCAAATTTGAATTATGAAATACAAACAGAGGTATGTCTGCATCTTTTAACCAAGAGACCATACCTTGGACTCTCAATTCAGCCTTGCATTCTTCACTGTGAACATCTGACATGATGCAAATGATTAGTTTAAGAGATGCCGATATGCATATTTTGTGTAAGTCCTTAATCCATCTGCCCTTCAACTGAGATTGTCCGTAGCCTACCAAACGTATTTGTGCTCTATTTCTAATTTTACCTGAGAAATGGACATGAGGGCAGCTATACCAGTTAACATTTTTTTGGATGAAAGCATCACTTATCTCTCTGCATTTCACAAACAAGTATTGGGAATGTAAACTTGAGAAGCTGCAAGTATTTCCACTAATTAAAACCACACACATAAATGTGTGCTGGATGCTTCCTTACAAGGACTCTACTGCTACAGCTGTTCAACTCCTGACCCCTATTTCCCCACCCACCTTTTTTTTCTTTAACTTGAATTTCCTCTTATAAAGAGACAATGCCTTTAGTGAGCATATTTAAACCAAGAGGCTTTCTCACAAACTCATGAAAATAACTTAACTTCCTCTTCCCAAACTAGAAATTTATATATACATGACAAATACTTGGGAAACATCTATACACAAATGGAGAACTGTTAAGAGAAAACAGTATTAAGTGGAATAAATGTAACAGTATCATAATACACTTTTTGGCAATTTTAAAGTTACTAAACTGTTTGCAGTTCACTTTTTAGCAGCAGATAATTGTGGGTTTCCATCACACAGACTATAAAAGAAAAACAAGTCTTCACTTGTCAGAACAAGTTTCTTCCCCCTTATCTCTCCCTTAAAAGAGAGTACATAGAGCAGTAGAATAGTTGCATTAGCCATTTCCTTCCTATTTTCTTTCCATGGATTTAATAGCCAATGCAATGAAAACCAGCATGATAACAGAAATTCATTCATAAGTGTATGCAGCCAACCCGTCACATGAGAAGTAAAAATGTGCATGTGGAAGGCGGAAGAAACCAGATTAAGTGTAAAGGATACATATAAGACAATTGTGTCTTCGCGTACCAAACACCTGCAAAATCCAACAAAGGTTCATCTTTACATTCTCCAGACAACAGAGTGAAAAGATCTGGCTTGATAATCAAAAGTAACATTTAGAAACACTCCACTTTGAACAGCTCCATATTGCCATAATGTAATGCCACACATTTGACTGACTTAGCCAACTGTGTGCCCAAATTAGAATACTTCATTTGTATCTAAGTGCCACATTTTCTTCAATTGGCACAAAGTAGTGTAAAAAATCGTGTTACTTTAGAAATCCACATTTAATGAAAACAAGGTATTTAATGGCAAATTATGACAACTTCTGAAACCATTATTTACTTTTTCATTCTATCGCCAACAAGTAATCTAATTATTTTGGCTTTATCAACTTATTCTTAGAAAAGCGGTATTTGCCCACTTATTTTCCTTGACTCCTTCCATCATAATTCTAAAGCAATGTAGACCAGCTGAAACAACCTATGCAAGCAGCTTACATTTAGACCACATCAGGGAAAGGGGCTGCTATGTCCATTAACTCCCTTCTGCTATATAAACACACACACGCACACACACAGCCAAACTTCACCAATAACCTTTCCCACCCTCCTACCCCCCTCAAAAAAAAATGCCACCACTGGAAGGCTGAGGAGATAGTTTTGGTTTCACTCAGACTTAAAACTGTGCTTGCCTATAATGACTGTAGGCCTGTATATCCAAAAAGACCTATACCCTTTTCAACTGACCCTAAGAAAACTTTAATAATAGTATGACAAAATATACTTACCAGAGAAAGCAACAACTTCTGGTATGTGTAAGTTTATATTAAAAAAAAATAAATAAATCAGTTACTTAAAGATGCATCACCCTATCTATAAATTGCTGACAACTCTTACCCACATGTACGTAAGACTTGTACTTTCATGTAATAAATTTTAGGAGGCATAACCATTAAGGCACCAGCTCAGGAAAGCAGTTTTATTCAACCAGAAAACTTAAGCACAAGCTTAAAATACCATCAGAAAACACATTTTAAGTGTGTGCTGAGATGCTTTTCTGAATCAAGACAACCTGCAGAAAAGTTTCCTTAAAATTTTCAATCAGAAGGGGAATTGTACAAATTGTGTCGCCACAATTTGAGTCTCCACAGTTCATTCTTCCCATGAGAAAATTTTTTGGAAGGGGCAAACTATCAGCTGCAGCAAATAACAAACCTGCGGAAGACGTTCAAACAGTCTGACTCCCATACAGATTAAGCTAACAGAATACAACTTTCATGACTACCTAGGAGGACTCCTAAAAACCAAAACTCCCAACATTGTCAGAATCAAACTCTCTCAAATTAAGTAATGCTGGCTCTGAAATGATGGTATTAGCTCCAAAAATCCCAGCAGAGCCAAAGAAAACTCACTTCTGGTGATGCTCAGGATACTTCCACATGGTATCACAGAACTCTTAAGAAATTTTCTGGAAGCAAATGGGTGCAAGTGTCAAAATAAAAGTCATCTCTTTCAGACTAGCTAAGTGTAGGTCTACTAAATTTAATGCACAGCTAACTTTTATTATCTTTACTGTAACAACTGGTATACATTAATCTCTACTCAAGTGATCACTGGTAATTATTTGGATTTGTTTCTTTTGGAGGTATAAATAAAGGGCACAAACATGTGACTACACCAGCAAAAAAAAAACAAAACCAAAACCAAACAAAAAAACCCACACACTAATAAAGACCCAAACACAAAAACATACTTTTACCTTGTATGACACTCCTTTCTATCACACCACACACTCTGCCTTGGGAAATCCCACCTGAGTTGCACACCAGACTAAGACCAAGTAGTTTGCCTGTATGTTAGTGAGGAGAGCATGGGTTAGAAAGAAACTTAGATTGCACTGCTCTTTTTTTGAAGGTTACTTCTGTTTCCTATGAAGAAGTTACCTTGGCAAAATCCTGAAGCCATGATGTTTAGGCACATACAACTTTCCGGGCACTATTATAATACAAATAGTAAAATGAAAACAAGGAAAAGTTGTCTTTTCCTTTTCATCTACAGTTTGAAATATTTATGTATGCATAACCATAAAAAACAGTAATAACCCAGGACAGCATACCTGCAAGTATACTCTACCATTAATGTTATATTATTTAGCACAATAAAGACTTCCCACTTTGCATAATAGAAAATCTCAAGCAATAAAACACTAATCTCATGCATAGCACACTTTAAATCAACTCTAAGAGAAGCAACAAATCATTGTGCTGACCATGACTGTCCAAAAAGGTCACACATACAGCAGTGAATACTGAAGAACCTCCCGTTGACCTAAACTAACACATCCCATACTACTTTTGTAGCAAGTTCCTTTAATAGCGTCCGTTGTACATATCAAACAAATGGAATATATGGATAGAGATACCAAAAAAGTATGAGAAAGACATAAAATGGTTCATTTACAATGCTGCAAGTGTAAAAGTTACCTGGAACACCTTAATAAAGCATCATATCTTTCCAAGATTAATTTCACTCTTTAGGCAAGTATAGACATGACATACATTTAAAAATGGACATTTTTTAACCACTTTTCACAAATCAAGGTACAGTGCAGGTACTCCCCCCCCGCCCCAAACCCACCAAAGAATAGCAGTTATATTATTGTTACATTAGATGATGGTTTCGCCATTTCTTCAGGGGAGTGACTCTTTATTACTTCTTTGATGAACTGTTCAAGTGCAGTGAAATAACCCTGGCACTGCCAAGTGTCATTATGAGTTCCATCAGGAAATATTGCCAATCTCTTAGTCCGAGCTGGGGATAATTCATAAAGTTGCTTCATCATAACTGGTGGAATTAACTGATCAGACAACCCGGAGATGAAGAGAGAAGGCATTCTACACTGAGAGATTTTTCTGTAGGACAGAAATTTATTTTTGTAGCACCATAAAGGAAGATACCTCATTGGAAAGAAAGAAAACAAAGTGCTGGCCATGTACGGGATACTAAGAAAGGTGTTCTCCACCACGATAGCAGAAATCCTATGGGAATTTTCAGAAGCTAAGTGAATAGCTACTGCTCCCCCCAAGGAACGGCCAAAAAGAAAAATTTTTGTTTTGTCAAGATCAGATCGAGTCATCACATAGTCTAAAACAGCCTCAGAATCTAAGTACAAACCTTCTTCACTTGCTTCTCCTTCACTTTTTCCATACCCTCTATAATCAACAAGAATTAAGTTTACTTTCAGGTTTACCAGCATCAACAAAGCATTGGGCAACCTGTGGCCAATGTTGCCTGCATTCCCATGGAAGTAAATGATGGTTGGAGAATAAGCTGCATTGTCCCCTGTGTACCTCAGTAGAATAAGATTAAGAAGAACTCCATCTTTGGTTTTGATGAAGATATTTTCATGTGGTATACCAGTAGGCATAGGAACGTAAAGGCGTGACGAAGAGGGCTGTTCAGGAAAGTAAAGCAGCACATCCTGGAATTTATATAATATACCTGCTATTGATACAAATATTAATATAAGCAGTATAATGCCTCCATATAAGTGAAAAGTTACTATCAAGGGTAAGAGACAAATACGGCAGAGACTCCAAGACCAGGAAGCCAAAGCTAGCAGCCATCTTTTAACAAAGGTCCAGAACATCCATGACTTTTCCATTGTAGAAGTCAGTGATCTTTTACTCCAAGTAAATCCTGAAAAAACAAAACCCCAAACATATATGCGTAAATATAGGGGAAAGAAAAAGGAAGTGATTTAAGCATTCATGCTTGCACAAGATAAATGGCAAGTCAATATATTGAAGTATAAACATCAAATTTGGTGGCAAACTCTTGAGTTTTTGGAAAGCATTCAACTTTAAATAAAGCAGAAAACCATTTATAATGAAAAAGCCTTTAGAAATCTTCAAAATACCATTTACATTACTTCAGTGAGCAAGTTCCATCAGGAGCACTAGAAAATTGGTTGACTGGGACCATAATAACTTACACTTTCCACCAGTCTTCCCTACCAACCAACAGAACATCCATATAGACTGTATCACCAGTTTCTCAAAGCTTCTCATATAAGTAATTCTAGAATCCAGAAAACACAAACAAAAATACCCCTTTTTTCTAAGTTGCTGGCCAAGAAGAACATTAAATACACCCATGCACTTGACTCTACAAACAGTAGAGGCTCATACTGTGTATCAGGTCTGCTATCGTTTCGTGTCTGCCTTTCAGAATCTGGATCAACTAATGACAAAGGAACAACTGGTCAGAAGAAAGAGATTCCTTTATAGTAAGATACCACATTACAGTTACATTTATGCCAGTTGTTTTGCTAATTTGGATTGGTTCTGATTTATAATGACAGTGTTCCACTATCAGATCAGTAATCCGTACTAAAACTTCAGCTGAAAGATTATATCATCATACAAGACCACTGGAAAGAGTCAGCTATCTACATTATTCTCTGAAAAATGAAAGCACAACTGCTGAAAGTCCAAACACGAGAACAAACTCATGACAAAAACATACACACAGCATAAAATGAGGGTAATGTTAATGACAATGGATTAAATCTTCTTTCCAGCCATAAGAGGTAAGTTACATCTCACAGCATACACATAATCTCTTCACATTATTCACTGCTGGTTTCAAGTGTAATACGGAAATAGACAAAAACTGCCAAACATATGTGAGAACTAATCACTATATCACTGACTTAAATAAGCACACTGTCTGGAAGTGACAACACAGGTTCACTTGTTTCAAAACACTAAGTTATACAGCAGATAATGATTACAGTTTAGGCACACTCAAAGTTGTAACTTCCTAAAATAACAGTGCAGTAAGAAGCTGAATTAAATCTAAAGGAGCCTGACATGCAGAGATGCATCTAAGCATTCAATTAAGTCACAGACCCACACCAAAATAAGCTCTACAGTCTAATGCTACTGGGGAGGGTTGCAACTGCACCAGCCATCTTTGTAGGATCAAGTGATAGAGGGTCACAGCCTCCACACTCCATAAATATGACCAGGGAAAACTGCCATCTCTATTTCATGCAACAATTAGATATAAATTAGAAATAGAAATAAAACTATTACATCTTAAGATTCATATATTAACCAAAGGCAATGTGAATTTATATAGTGCATCTACTTCAAATACATAAAATTGGTGAAATATAGTCTAAAAAAGCATTTTTTATTTTTTCTTATATTATTTATGAGCTAATATTCAATATCCACATCCAAGTATGCACAAATATTTTCTATATGAAAATTTAATTCCTGTATCCATTTCTTTAGTAAAGAAGTCATGGTAACCAGGAGACCCATAAAGTCTAATTTGTATACAAAGTCTGTATTAGGAGACCCATAGTCTAATTACTCTAATTTGTAAGAGAATTTCCTAATGAAGGTGACAAACATTTTCTGCATAGAAAAATTTATAACAAAACAATAAAAACCACTCTCATTATCTATGCTATTCAAAATTTTGCTGTCTTGCAAAATGAAAGACTCCAAAACTTCTTTCTCAACAAGACATTCACAAAAAGGAGACTCCCTCATTAAAAAGAAATACTGAAAGGCAAAGCAGTAATAAAAATCTTACTTAAGGTGATTAAGCTTTGCAGATGGCTATTCCATATATGCTAAAGATTGCTATTTGAAGACTAATGCAGTTGATTTTATAAGCCATGCTAGTTTCATTTGTGCACTGCTTTTATTTTAATTTCACAGAATCCTAGAATAGTTTGGGTTGAAAAGGAACTTAAAGATCGTTTAGTTCTAATCCCCATGCTGTGACAGGGACACCTCCCAATAAACCAGGTTGCTCAAAGCCCTGTCCAACCTGGGCTTAAACACTTTCCAGGGATGGGGCATTCACAGCTTCTCTGGGCAACCTGCTCCAGAGCCTCACAGTAAAGAGCTTCTTGCTTGTATCTAATCTAAATCCACCCTCTTCCACTTTAAACCCATTCCCCCTTGTCCTGTCACTACATGCCCTTCTCAAAAGCCCTTCTCCAGATTTCTTGTAAGCCCCCTTTAGGTACTGGAAGGCTGCTCTAAAGTCTCCCCAAAACCTTCTCTTCTCCAGGCTGAACAAGCCCACCTCTCTCAGCCTATCTTCACAAAGTTGCGCCAGTCCTCTGATCATCTTCATGGCCCTCCTCTGGACTCACTCAAGCAGCTCCACATCCCTCTTGTGTGGGGGGATAGATAAGCTACAAAACCCATAATTTTAATAGCAGTGTCCTAATGCTAGTCTTAAATGGTAAATGGCATTATCAACTAAAGATCACAAACTCAAGTGCATACTTACAGCACTTGGGATAATTTTTCTTTCTTTTTGAATGGCAGTTGCCACAAATTCTGTTGTATTTTTTGTCTGCCTGTATTTTTAATATTTAGAAGTGCTATTTCCATACACTAATCACAATATAAAACATTTACCTTTGGATGTGATGATTTCCCAGGCTTCATCTCTGCCTGAAAGACAATTCCATTTATGAATTTTGAGTAAAATTACTTTTGAATTACACACATAATTACTGTTTGTCTTCAGTTACTTGACAGAAAATTAAGAAGTGCAAACAGCCAATAATCCTAGAAGCTACATTTGCTTTATGAATGAAACAATGCATATCATGTTCATGCTCCTGTCAAGCTCAGCTCTTGTCTGGAACATCTGATAAACTTGAAAACAACATCTTATAATGAATTTACAGAATCACGTCAAAGTGGTCTGGATGATACATACAACATACAGTATAAAACATACATAGTGCATAACAACAAAGTTATACTAGATTTACATTGCCTCCTCAAAGCTAACTTTTAGAGTATAAGCACCATCAAAATTAGCCCTAAGAGGAGCTTTCAGGCGTTTACAGCTGCCTTCTCATTAAAGAACTGAAAAAAAAAAAGTAGTTAGCTTTAACACTCCTTACAATCCTTTCCACTTCAAGGTTTCAAAACAAAGGTATTCCTTAAGAACATAGCAATATCTGAGGACATCCATTTCTTTCTACTGCACACCCTTCCCCTACACTCCGCCTCATCCACACGCAGACAAGACTTACACAAGCTTCATGTTTACTCATATTTATTCATAAGACTCCCGTAAGTAGAAATATTAAGTCACTGTAAGTAGAAACATAAGTAGCCTGGAAGAAAATACAGTTTCTTAGTACTAAAATCGTTAAAATCTTACAAATTCACATTGAAAAAAAAAACAAAACAATCAAAACCCACTTAAACCAGCAGAGTAGCTACTCCTAACCAAGGAATAAGCACAGAAAGAACAACTAAGTGTCAGACATTTAAGGGCTCTGGCTTTTAAAATTGGCAAGCCACCTCTCCTACTTAATTCAAACAGAAAACTTCCACAGCTCGGCATCAAGTGGTACATATTTATAACTGAAAGTGGTTTTCCCTTAACTCTTTAATAACTTTCCCTCCCAACTGTCAGATCTTGATTAACCTTACTTGATTTATGCTGGTACTGTGTAAAAAAAAAGCCCCAAATAACAACAAGCCACGGACAGTTATCATATTAGAGCCTTAATTTTCTAGTGAGTGTGGGCTCCTGAAACATATTACTTCTCCAATCACGTTAAATTATTTCCGATTTTACCTAAAAGAAATATTCCCCTCAGGCTTTTCAGCATATTCACTTAGCAACATTAAGTTTTCACCATTTACCCCATCTTCGACAAGCACCCCGTTTGCACGGGCCGCTGCACATGGGCAAACGCAACACCAGAGTAAGACCATGCTGCGAGGATGCAACAGGTCTCCCGAGGCTCCGCAGGAAAGCACCTGAAGGAACTTCTAATGGCGTTGTCAACGCAGCAGCTCCCCAGGAGACACGTCCCGGAAGGCCGGCGCCACGGCACGGCACCCCACCCGCCACACACTCCGGCCCGGTGAGGAGCAGCATTTAGTCACGGCGAGACGACAGACATCACACCAAAACCACACTAAAACCAACCGGGCAGCTGCCCTCCTCCCCCCCCCACCGACACCGGCTCCCTTCAGTTCCCGCCCGCCCCACCACGGCCAGACGGGAACAGGCCGGGCCCATCACCCCACCTCCTGCCAGGGGAGCGACCTGAAGCAGGACGAAACAAGACCCACCCGCCGCATCCTTCCGCGCTGCCTCTGGCAGTGCCCCAGGCCGGTACAGATCCGACGCACAACTTCCACCACCACTCCTTACGATTCGGGAAATCGCACCCCCAAGACTTCCGCTTCCGGGCCCAGGCTCCTCCGCTCGCCTTTCTCTTCCCGCCCCGAGCTCCGCCAACGTTTCCCCGCCGCAGCTGTGACTGCGCAGGCGCGGCCGCTGCCACCGCCATAGCCGGAACCACTGCGCTCGGGGGAGGAGCACAAGCGGGGCGCTTCTCGCCTTCCGGGGCGAAGGGCGGTCGGTGTGACCCGGGTTATGCAACTACCCCTGGCTTCGTGCGTATCCCCGGTTCCGCGTAAGTCTTGGGGGTGGCTGTTCCTCCACCGTTCCGATAGTCCGCCCCGGGGAGGAGGTGGCGAGAGGAGGGTGTCCCCCGGGTGGTGTCCGTTCTTCCCCTCTCCGTGGCTATGGCAACGTCGTAGCAGTGAGGGGCGGGGCGTGAGCGCCGCGGCCGCTGCTTCCAGCGAGAACTGCATCCGCCCTTTCAGGACTCCGCTACCTCAGGGCGGGCCCGGCGAGTCCCCTCAGCCCCCTGGCTGCGGAGCTGAGGGCGGGCGGTGTCAGGGATGCGCTGCGAGGAGGGAGAGTAGCGAAGGGAACGGGTCTCAGCGGTGAAGGCTGCCGCTGCAGCGGGAAGGGGGCGCGGTGCTTTCTCCAGACGTGCGGTCCTGTTGTCTGGGTGATGCCATGTGCAGCGCCGTAGCTTAGCTGCTGAGTTTCACCCGTAAGGACGGATAGCGGTACCCGCTGATGAGCTCTATGTAAAGATACTGTTACATCCTAATTAGCAAAATGAGAAAATCGGTAAATCCTAACTATACATATATACCTATATTTTATTCAAGACAGAATAACACTCTGGCTCTTCCTCTACAAATATATTTTTGTTGTAGTTGTAGCTGTTCTTAGTGAAAAACAGACTCTTGATGGCTTCTGCGACTGCTTCACAGCCCTCTCCTAAAAGAACGGTGGCCTCTCACGTGCCTTTCGCAGATCTGTGTTCTACTCTGGAGCGGATACAGACATGTAAATCTCGTCCAGACAAAACCAAGTATTTCAAGGAGTTTCTGGATTCCTGGAGGAAATTCCACAATGCTCTTCATCAAAAAGAGAAAGATGTCACAGATTCTTTTTATCCAGCTATGCGACTTATTCTTCCACAGTTGGAAAGAGAGAGGATGGCTTATGGAATTAAAGAAACTATGCTTGCAAAGCTGTATATTGAACTGCTTCATTTACCAAAAGATGGAAAAGATGCTGCAAAGCTTTTAAATTACAGAACACCTGCTGGCTCACGTGGGGATGCTGGAGATTTTGCAATGATAGCATACTTCGTGTTAAAACCCAGAAGCCCAAAACGGGGCAGACTGACAATAGAGCAAGTCAATGAACACTTAGATGCAATAGCTAACAATAATGTTGCTAAAAACAAGGGTCTCTTAAAGAAAAGTCTACTTCAGTTAATTACCCAGAGCACAGCACTGGAACAAAAGTGGCTTATCCGGATGATTATAAAGGATCTAAAGCTTGGTGTCAGTCAACAAACCATATTTTCCATTTTTCATCCTGATGCTGTTGAACTGCACAATGTCACAACTGATTTGGAAAAAGTTTGCAGACAGTTGCATGATCCCTCTGTCTCACTTACCGATGTTTCTATCATGTTGTTTTCTGCCTTTAAGCCAATGCTTGCTGCTATTGCTGATGTCCAGCAAATTGAGAAACAAATGAATAACCAGACATTCTACATAGAAACTAAGCTGGACGGTGAACGTATGCAGATGCACAAAGATGGAGATGTATATAAATATTTTTCCCGAAATGGGTTTGACTATACTCAGCAGTTTGGTGCTTCTCCCCTTGATGGTTCATTAACACCATTTATTCATAATGCATTTAAGAGCAATATACAAAATTGCATTCTTGATGGCGAAATGATGGCTTACAATCCTGAGACGCAAACCTTTATGCAAAAAGGAAACAGGTTTGACATAAAAAGAATGATGGAGGACTCTGATCTGCAGACTTGCTTCTGTGTATTCGATGTGTTGATGGTTAATGATCAGAAGTTGGGGCATGAAGTACTAAGCAAAAGGTATGAAATCTTAAGTAGTGTATTTACGCCAGTAACAGGCAGGATACATGTTGTCCACAAAAGAAATGCCAGAACAAGAAAGGAAGTAATTCATGCTTTGAACGAAGCAATAGATGACAGAGAGGAAGGGATTATGGTGAAAGATCCCATGTCCACCTACAAGCCTGACAAACGTGGGGAAGGCTGGTTAAAAATCAAGCCAGAATATGTCAATGGGCTGATGGATGAACTGGACCTGTTAATTGTTGGTGGCTACTGGGGGAAGGGGTCACGTGGTGGGATGATGTCTCATTTTCTGTGTGCTATTGCAGAGACGCCCCGTCCGAATGAAAAACCTACTGTTTTCCACTCTATTTGTCGTGTTGGCTCTGGCTACACTATGAAGGAATTGTATGATCTAGGTTTGAAACTGGCTAAACACTGGAAGCCCTACCATAGGAAGGACCCTCCCTGTAACATTTTGTGCGGAACTGAAAAACCTGAAATGTACATTGAACCTTGCAACTCTGTCATAGTTCAAATCAAGGCAGCTGAGATTGTTAACAGTGATATGTACAAAACTGACTGTACTTTGAGATTCCCTCGAATTGAGAAGATAAGAGAGGATAAAGAATGGTATGAGTGCATGACTTCAGACATGTTAGAGGATCTCAGGAGCAAAGCAGAAGGGAAGCTGGCATCCAAGCACCTTTATATAGATGATTATGAGCCACAAGAGAAAAAAAGGAAAACTGTATCAAAGGTGAAAAAGATAATCGGAATAGCTGAGCAATTTAAAGCTCCTGATCTTTCTAGTGTAAACAAGATTTCAAATGTATTTGAAGATGTTGAGTTTTGTGTTATGACTGGAACAGAAAGCCACTCAAAGCCTAAACTGGAAAGCAGAATAGCTGAATGGGGTGGCAGCGTGGTACAGAACCCAGGGCCAGAGACTTACTGTGTCATTGTAGGAGCTGAGAATGTCAGAGTGAAAAACATCATTGCTTCCAACAAATACGATGTGGTGAGGGCAGAGTGGCTTCTGCAGTGTTTTCAAGCCAAAATGCTGGTGCCTTGGCAGCCAGCGGTTATGATTCATATGTCACCTGACACAAAAGAACATTTTGCTCGTGAGTATGATTGTTATGGAGACAGCTACACAGCAGACACAGATGTTACACAACTCAAGGAAGTGTTCTCACGAATGAAAGACAATAAGATTATTCCTTTAGACATGATTGCAGAGTTAGAAGAACGTTACTCATGGAACAGCTGTCAGCTCAGTATTTTCAGGGGAAGCATTATTTATGTGGATTGCTACGCTGTTGTTAATGAGCCCAGAACCAAAATCCATGGAACACCACTATCAGTTAGAGCTCTGGAGCTGCGTTTCTATGGTGCAACAGTAGTCTCTCACCTTGAAGAGGGTGTCTCTCATGTTGTTATAGGAGAAGATCATTCCCGGGTAAAAGAAATTAAGACACTCAGGAGAAGATTTAGGAAAAAATTTAAAATTGTATCTGAGCTGTGGGTAACAGAGTCAGTGGAGGAAGAAGTCCCAAAGAATGAAAGTCAGTACTTAATATAAACCAGTTTTTAACCTTGGAGCAAAAGCATTCTTGCTGGCGTGACTGGATTCTAATATTATGATGTTGTCTTAAATCTGTTGTGTATTTTCATGCCTGTTTAGAGTTGGCCCTGGCTAAATAATGACACTGTATTGTTGAAACCAGAGGAAGGCTTTTAATTAAACTGTTGCAGAAGCAAAAGAATGCCAAGCTATGCTGGAGGAGAAAAAAATGACCACAAGATAAATAATGTAAGCCTTTTACTTCACAAACTGGTCTCAGAAGAGATCTAGTATTTTATATAAGAGAATTCTTAGGTATTAATAGTGCTTGACTCCGTTATTCAAAATGGAGACAATAATTTGCTATTTTATGGCGATTCTAGTATTTAACATACTGTTTATTTATCAGTTTACAGTAACATTCATGTTTTTGTGGAGTTTTGTGTGTTATATATGCTATAGAATTCATTAATTTATAAACCTTGTCTGTACTTATTTTAATTTGTTTACATTGGTTTTAGCATTGAGTCTCATACAAGCCTTTAGTTTTAAGCTATTGCATTGATCCCATGTTTCTTTGTGTAAATAACCACTGTTAAATAGAACATGAACTTTTGACTGAGGTGCTAATTAATAATAATCTATATGTTTGTAAAGTGCAAATCAATTACATAAAACTGTAGTGACCTATGCTCATTACAGGTAAAGTTTAACCCTGAAGTGTGGCAGAGCTAGGCTTTTATACTTAATTATAAATTTATTTTTCAAATAATGTTTCATAAGCTATTTTAGTAATGGGGGATTAATTTCCAAATATCCTGTTCAATGTATTGGGTTTTTTTCAACTATTAAATAAAAATCTATTTTAAAGTCTGCCTGGTATTAAACAAAACTGCTCTTAGGCTGATTACACAGAACCAGTTTCAGTGGGTTTTTTTTGGTTCTAGTCATATAAAAAAGTACTGTAAAAAGAATTGGGAAATGGTATATGAAAGGCTAACTGGAAGGAAGTTTAATCTCATTTTCTTACAGTTAGTGCAAACATTAGGAGAGTCATTGTTTTAAATATACTAAACACTTAAGTTTTAATAACCACTTAACCACTCAAGTTATAATACAGTTAAAAAGCAGAATATCTTTTGTATATATGAAATAGTATATACTGAAAGGCAGTGCATTATTTTTTCTCAGATAATTCAAGTTAGAAAATGGTATATGTGAAGTATAGTACTTCAGTGTTAACTTACTGGGCTGCTTCTGTGTAATGTCATATATTCTGATTTATAATGACAAGAGAGTTAGTCTTCATACCCACACAGATTTCTCTTAAATGGGTTTTAGTAAAATATGTATTTTAGGTGATCTTGGTTAGGAAAGTTAAGAGAAACAAAGACAAATATGAATTATAGCTGACTCTTGAGACATTGTCAAATATCTTGCATTGAGATCTAAATGCTATTTACGGAGAAGTATTTTAAAAGTATTGATTCCACGTTGTCTTTGTGTTCTCTCAAAGATATGTCAGGCTGGGGAATCTAGAACT